GAACACCTAATGCACGATATCTAACCAATGTTGGGTTTTACCTTGGGTAATAGAAAAAATATTATCTCTTAGAACCAAGGCAGTGAAGATTCGAATGCAGAGAGTAAATTTATCAACTGAACACCTAATGCACGATATCTAACCAATGTTGGGTTTTACCTTGGGTAATAGAAAAAATATTATCTCTTAGAACCAAGGCAGTGAAGATTCGAATGCAGAGAGTAAATTTATCAACTGAACACCTAATGCACGATATCTAACCAATGTTGGGTTTTACCTTGGGTAATAGAAAAAATATTATCTCTTAGAACCAAGGCAGTGAAGATTCGAATGCAGAGAGTAAATTTATCAACTGAACACCTAATGCACGATATCTAACCAATGTTGGGTTTTACCTTGGGTAATAGAAAAAATATTATCTCTTAGAACCAAGGCAGTGAAGATTCGAATGCAGAGAGTAAATTTATCAACTGAACACCTAATGCACGATATCTAACCAATGTTGGGTTTTACCTTGGGTAATAGAAAAAATATTATCTCTTAGAACCAAGGCAGTGAAGATTCGAATGCAGAGAGTAAATTTATCAACTGAACACCTAATGCACGATATCTAACCAATGTTGGGTTTTACCTTGGGTAATAGAAAAAATATTATCTCTTAGAACCAAGGCAGTGAAGATTCGAATGCAGAGAGTAAATTTATCAACTGAACACCTAATGCACGATATCTAACCAATGTTGGGTTTTACCTTGGGTAATAGAAAAAATATTATCTCTTAGAACCAAGGCAGTGAAGATTCGAATGCGGAGAGTGTTTGCAGACTTTATGAAATCGGGAGAACAAAAAGAGAGGATGAAGATGACGAGGAGGAAGATGAAGATGGTGATGACATGGTCAGTGTTCACAAAAACCCTTTCATGACAAGCGTCGAAGTTCTCCTTGTATTTTTCAGGTAGTTGTATTATCCAAAGCTTTCTGTGTTAAATCTGGTCTTTGTTTTTGTTTGCAGGAAAGCGGTGACGACGACGATGACGACGATCTCGCCGACTTTATCGTAGAAGATGACGAGACAGAGAACTTCGAGTTTCAAGATTCCCTGGAAGAATTGTTCCGACGAGATTTTGATGAACATTTTAATAACAATAGAGTCGATATTGATGATCACATGGACGATGATGATAATGATGATGATGATGATGACGATGATGATGACGATGATGATGATAGTGACAGTGATTTTGATGATGATGTACGATTCTTTTTGGCAAATTCAAGCGATTCCTCAGATGCAACCGATTCTGAAATGTCAGAATGATGTGTCTTGTGATAATAGAAAATGATTTGAAGGAACGTTCTCTTTACATAAGCAGGAAATGTTTACAGCACTTGTAAAGTTTAGATGAGCATTTGAATTCAAAATATGAACAAACTCAGGACTATAAGTTGTCTTTTTTGGGCCAACCCCTCAGTCAGAGTGAGGCAACACTCTCTCCTTAAGTTTTCGTCCATGGATCTACGCAAACTTAGGCAGCAGCTCTAATACTACAAGCTGATAGTGGAGGTAATTGTGCCTGGAAGCTGTAAATGAACGCATGAATTATCCCACATCGTTTGTGTCATGAAATGCAGTAGTCTCGTGATCTGCTATCTTACCAAGCTTAAGGTTGTCTCTTAATATCTTTAGCTCGTTGTAAAAATGAAGCTTGTCACTCTTCCTGGGGTATGTCATGGTTCGTGCCGATGAAGAAGGCATGACGTAGATCACCTAAAAAAAAATAAAAAACTTGAGTAAAATAACGCACCAACAATGACTCCAATTTATGAGCAGTTACTTATTTTTTGAGTTTAATTATTTTACTCAAGTTTTAAAATCAAAATACTTTTTTGTGATACTGAATTATTTCTATTTTTGGCAACTCACAGAGTTTGTACCAGGAACAGTTTCTTTCTGTCGACCAAGTACACACTTCTTGCCAGAGAATATTTCATAAATCCCTAGAGCGAGAAAATTGTACACAATCCAATTCGACAAAAGCAACTAGTAAAGGCCCTGTCACACTATTGCGTATGAGAGAAGCGTATGAAAATTAATAAAATAATTTTCATACGCACAAAAATCCTTTGAAATACCAGCGTATGAGTACCGTACATCTGGCGTACCTCTAGTGTATTCAGCGTGTGCCTAGAGTATGCTTATCGTATGAAGCATACGTTCGATACGCACAAAATTTTTGAACATGCTTAAAAAACATGTTCTGCCTCGCCGTATGCGACCGTGCTTGAAACGTCTACAACCTATGCCTAACGTAGCCCTAGCGTATGTCAGCGTATACCGGCGTATAAGTGATATTTTTCATACGCTGGCATACGCTAGTACGATACGCAATAGTGTGACAGGGTCTTAAGACACGAAAGACAAAAATACCAAAACACGCCTTTACACTCGATATATCCAAATACAAAATCCTCCTTTAATTCTCGTTATACCTTTTCCATTAAAACATGTCACCAATGGTTTACAATTCTTAATTTTTTCAATGAGGTCTTCCTTTCCTTGCTTAATTTCTGCACTGAAAAAAAGAAAACTGTCTTCATGCAATGCAAAAAAATGCAAAAGTGCACAACATAAATCAATCTATAGTATACATTGGTAGAAATCTATACTGAAATATTAAAAAATGCTACTTAACAAATAATACAAGATAACAATATCTGAAATTGATGCTTGTGATGTTACTCTGAGTGTATATCCACACCGGGCAAGCTTGAAAAATATGCCTGGCCACGGTGGGAATCGAACCTACGACCTTTGGAATACTAGCCCAATGCTCTGCCAACTGAGCTACGCAGTCAGGTCGGTTTGAGTATGTGATATTTCGGAACAGAATCTAGTTCCTTCGATATCAATGTAATCTAGTAATCATGACTTTATACACAAGAATCTCTCCATAAACTACACCCACCGAGATAAATCACTGCTACTTCGTGTTGTCCTGGCAACAATATTTGTCAATCCTATGCCATGTTCAGGACATCTTACATCGTCCAAGAATGTAAAATGAGTGGGAACAAGTCCTGCATCAATTAAGCAGGGCCCTGAAAATACAATATGAATAAATCATTGAAACTTGGCATCAAGATATTTCAATCTAACATGCTGTATTTTCTAATGCGTTACTGCTGGAATATCGGATTTTACAGTCCAATTGACAAAGGTCTCCAGGGCTTAACCCATTGAGTGGCAGCACTCTCCCCCTGACGAGTAAAAACGTCTGGCGTTAGACAGAGTAAAATAATAAAGTAGGGTGCATTTAGGTGCATTGCCACTTAAAGGGTTAATTAATTCTTTTAAGACTATGGTAATAGGATAGTTTTTTTTTGTGTTGGAGAAAACAGAGCTAGGACTTGGAGAAAAAGCCAGAGGTAGTCTCATTATGTAATCTACATTGTTCACATCAGCAATTCACCATGGGCATATTTTAGTCATATTATTTATACACTTACAGAAATGGTTGTTTGCTCCAGAGTAATGATGACCTTTGTAGGCAGACATTAGACCTGGATTGATCCCCACCTGAAAGAAATCATCTAACCAGTCAATTATGTATGTATGTGCAAACATGCATCTTGCAAGCAGCTTCCAAAGAGCATGCAAAGACCATTCAAAGACCATGCAACGAGCATGCAAAGACCATGCAAAGACCATGCAAAGAGCATTCAAAGAGCATGCAAAGATCATTCAAAGACCATGCAGAGAGCATTCAAAGAGCATGCAAAGACCATGCAAAGACCATGCAAAGATCATGCAAAGACCATGCAAAGACCATTCAAAGATCATGCAAAGACCATGCAAAGAGCATTCAAAGAGCATGCAAAGACCATGCAGAGAGCATTCAAAGATCATGCAAAGACCATGCAAAGACCATGCAGAGAGCATTCAAAGACCATGCAAAGACCATGCAAAGACCATGCAAAGACCATGCAAAGATCATTCAAAGAGCATGCAAAGACCATGCAAAGAGCGTTCAAAGAGCATGCAAAGATCATGCAAAGACCATGCAAAGAGCATGCAGAGATCATGCAAAGAGCATGCAAAGAGCATGCAGAGAGCATTCAAAGATCATGCAAAGACCATGCAAAGACCATGCAAAGACCATGCAAAGACCATGCAAAGACCATGCAAAGACCATGCAAAGACCATGCAAAGATCATTCAAAGACCATGCAAAGACCATGCAAAGAGCGTTCAAAGAGCATGCAAAGATCATGCAAAGATCATGCAAAGAGCATGCAGAGATCATGAAAAGAGCATGCAAAGACCATGCAGAGAGCATTCAAAGACCATGCAGAGACCATGCAAAGATCATGCAAAGACCATGCAAAGACCATGCAAAGATCATTCAAAGAGCATGCAAAGAGCATGCAAAGAGCATGCAAAGAGCATTCAAAGACCATGCAAGCAGCTAGCCAACATCATGCAAAGAGGTTGTAAATAGAAGAAAAGGAAATGAAAATACAGTAAAATTTAACGAGCTGTGAAAAACAAAATCATGTGGGTCAGGTTAAAAGCAGGATGATTTTTACTTGCATTAATTAGTACACAAGTTCATATTTACAACTCAACTCACAAACAAAATGTCTGTTGATTCCCCCAAGCGATCAGGGAGTAAAAGCTTCATAACTTCATCTTCTGACATATTTCCAAAACTTTTCTTCTTTCTTCTCTTTGCACTAGTCTCGCCATCCCTTGAACTGGAAAAAGCCATGACATCTTTCAGAGCTCGATACTTCATGAAATAATTTAGCCACACTGAGTCAACACTTGAGAACAGCTGCTGTTGCGTGTAAGTGCTAAGCCAGTAGCGCCGCAAGCTCGATAATTGGGGGAGGGGAATATTCGCATGTTTGTGTTCACAGACCATAAAAACAATCAATTTCAAAAGAAGTTAATAATGCAGAACACAAAGATATGAATATTCCTTTAATGATGAAGGCTGGCGGTGCCACTGTGCTCAGCTGTTTAGTCTACCAAGTATTTCAATACTTTATAAGTTTGGTTTACACTATCAAAGTTTCTGTGATCACAGTAGGAATTTTGCATGGGTAAATTCTAAGTTTTGAAGGACTATTGGTAAAACACGGAGCACGGAGCACGGAGCACACGGAGTACGGAGCACACGGAGCACGGAGCACACGAAGTACGGAGCAGTAGAAAAACGAAAATCCTTTATAATAAAATACACTGTTTACTATTACAATTTTTTGTTATTATTAACAAAGTTTTTTTCGCGTATTACACGTTGGGGAAGTAGGAAAATGGGGCTATTAATAAAACACGGAGCACGGAGCACACGGAGCACACGGAGCACGGAGCACACGAACTACGGAGCAGTAGAAAAACGAAAATCCTTTATAATAAAATACACTGTTTACTATTACAAATTTTTGTTCTTATTAATAAAGTTTTTTCGCGTTTTACACGTCGAGGAAGTAGAAAAATGGGGCTTTTACTGCACATATGATGCAAAACTGCCAAAAGCCATAGTATTTATTTAAAATAGGATTGTGCCTGTGAAACTCGTCACATATCTATCAAGCTTATGAGTTATGTAGTTATATTATATTCCGATGGCCAACGCATTAAGAAACACTTAGAGAACAGCCGATATACTTCGTTACCCCTGCCAAAAAATAGCCAAGTACTCATCTTTCAATGTAGCGGATCGACCGAACATTATAAAAGCTTGTCATGGAGAGAAGTGAATTTTCGGTTTATCCTTCGTCCCAGTGACCAGTGAGCAGTGTGCTGTACGGCCTACGTTTAAACCGTTATACATAATTACTGCTTTCATTCTTTCAATCCGTTTTGAATATTCGGAATCATTCACTATTATATTATAAAACTGTATAAGATAGCTGTAGAACTATAAATGCTGTAGAATAAAATAAATAAAGAAAACTACGTTTTATCGCGGTATTTGCCGATAAATCAGTAACCGCTACAGAAAAACAGAACAAATTACAGTAAATCACAACAAACCGCGGAAGTGGGACAATTTTTGTATTTTTACTGTAAGACATGCAGAACATGTACGAAATCCATACAGAAGTGTGTGTGTATTCTATACTTTTGAAACAACTAAATCAGACTTCGGAAAATTTTACAGTATTAAAGCTACTTTTGAGAATTTAGATTTTAGGTCTTTGTTTTACATGTACCCATTTTACATGTACCCATATTGAGTTTTGAACTTTGATTCTCACAAGCTTACAATTTGTTTACAATTTACTCTGCCTCTGGCTCTGCAGAGTTGATCGGAATTGTAACAAATACGCGTACACTTAAATGGCTTCCTGAATTTAGTCAATCAGATGTGTAAAAATTACTCGTTTCAATTTTATGTTTATGCTCAAAACTGCTCATGTTTACAATAGCAATTCTAACAATCTTGCCCTCCTTTTCGCCTTTGAGGCGTTGGTGTTGATTTATACACAAAATTCAAAACTCAAAAATATTTACTGGTCTGGGTACATGTAAAACGAAGACCTAAAATCTAAATTCCCAAAAGCAGCTTTAATACGGTCAAATTTTCCGAAGTCTGATTTAGTTGTTTCAAAAGTATAGAATACACAC